GGGGAACGGGGAGAAGTTGCAAAATTTGTCAGCTGAAAAACCTTCCTGGAACAAGAGCTGCATATATTTAGCATTGTTACCATGCTGCAAGTCCTGGGGGAGGCAGCTCGGATCTGGAGCTCTGCTGTGGCTCATGATTTATACCCTCCCAGCAGCACAGCCATACACACACCAGGGTCTGCTCCTTTTCAAAGCTCTTGTTTATAACACACGGAACAGAGAATCCCTGTGGGTCCTTGCAGCTTTCAGTCTGCTGCTCTGGATACTGTCAGCAAAAACCAAATCCCTGTCCCATTTCTGTTCCCCCAGGATGATCAGGAGGATGAGGTTAGCACTGCTTTGTTTTGTTTCAGGTTTTTTTAAATGAATTTCGTGGGTATAATTAATGCTAGTGGCAGAGATGCATCATCTCTCTGGCCCCAGTAGATTTGAGCGGTTATGAGCCTTTGCTTAGCTAATGAACTTGCATTTTAAGGTCTAGATGCTGCTGGTTTTCCTCATACCTAGTAGGAATAAGTTCACCTAAATTGGTTGAGTTGCACTAGTATCACCAAAAGCAGCAGCATGTGCTTGTTGGTCTTCAGTTTAAAAAACTGAACAAATCCATAAAAAAAAGGTTGCACTGCACTCAGTCCTTCAACAAAAATAATCTGACCTTACATCTGGCATTAGCTGAGGTTTCTCTCTTATTATCTTGTTCTTTAAGAGCTTTCTTATATCCTGGGTTGTAATTTGCACATTATAATGTATTTTGAAACAAAACTGTGTCCCGTTCTGGGGTTTCTTGTGTGTATTTTATAAGCAGAATTGTATGCTTGACAAGAAGTGTTTCTGAATGGGCTGCTTGTGACAGATGGTTCTCATTGTGGCAAAGTCATGCAGTGCCTCAAACCTCAAAATGTATAAACTTATTTGAAGGAAATGAATTGCTGCTGTGGCATGGCCATCCGTGAGTAGTGCCCTTGGACACTGCAGACAAAAGAGAACTCTCACAGTGGTTTTCAAGAGCATGACATTGTGACACCTCCAAGAAGCACATTTCCTCTTTCAAGACATGTAACACTTTCTTAGGAGCATCTCCCACTGATAACAGCAGGTGATGCCTCTATGTCCTTTTCAGGTAGTTGTTTGAATAAAACAGAAATAGCACCTCTAAGGCTCCACTCGAGGTGGACTTCTGTTCTTCCACATGTGGCATCCAGGGCATGTAACCTACATCATTAGGCTCCACGCGAGGTGGACTTCTGTTCTTCCACATGCAGCATCCAGGGCATGTAACCTACATCATTTCACATCAAAACCCCCCTTGTTCCAAGAAAACCAAGCCTCCTGGCAGCCTTTTGCCTGCAAAAGGACTGTCTTATCATCCCTAAATATCCAGTATCCTTTGGCTCAGTGCGAGGTGGACTTCTGTTCTTCCACATGCAGCATCCAGGGCATGTAACCTACATCATTTCACATCAAAACCCCCCTTGTTCCAAGAAAACCAAGCCTCCTGGCAGCCTTTTGCCTGCAAAAGGACTGTCTTATCATCCCTAAATATCCAGTATCCTTTGGCTCAGTTTGAAAGGACTGTCTTATCATCCATAAATATCCAGTATCCTTTGGCTCAGTTGCTGTTCCTCTTAATCACCTGTTGCTCATCAGCTCTGTCCTGCTGCAGTTGAGCTGTTCACATCTTCCTGCCTTCCCACTCCCCAGAATTAATCACTCCTCTGTGTTGTCTTACTTCTTTCAGCATCTTTTTAAGCTGCTGCAGTACCAACAACCACATCCTCTCTCATATGGAACATCTCCTCTCTCACCTTCCTTCCTGCCTGCTGTTAGCATGGTTACTTGCCCTGTTGCTATACAGGGACCACAAGTTCTGCTTTACCACATCCTTTGCAGGATACAACAGGCATAGGGGGAGGAGGTGGCTTGGTATGACACCAGGATGGCAGAGGTGGAGTTTGGGCTCCAGTGAGGAGGCCACTTTGCTGTAGAGCCAAGACCAGGAGGTTTCTTGCAGGATCACCTGCTCCTGGAGCTCCACTCCTCCTGCACCTATGGCCTGAGTGACTCAGAGGCTTCTAACTGCTGCAGAAAGGAGCAGTTACAGTTCATGGTTTAAGCTGTCAGCAGAGAGAAGGAGACACTGAGAGTGTGTGTGTGTGAACGCCTTGGCAGTTGATGACACGGGTTGTACTCACACAGGGAAGTGCCCTCCTGTGAACCACGTGTTGGCTTTTGCCAGGCTTCCATAATAGGTGTTAAAGTGGGTCAGCACGGCGAGCGCACGGCTGGACTCCCAGTGACCTCCCCAGCAGGCAGAGGTGTCCTGTTGCCAACCTGTTGCTCCGTGCTGCTGCCCAGGGAGACACTCTCCCTCTCTCCCCTGCCTTGGGAGCTTGGTGCTTGGCTTTGTGCTGTTTGCTGTTTAACACTCTCTAACCTGCTACTGTGTTTTAGAGCCTGATGTTGTGTATTTTCTCCTCAATAAAGTTATAAGCTGCACCAGTATGAAGACAAAGTCTGCCAGGGGAGGTTTAGGTTGGATATTAGGAAGAGATTTTTTTACAGAGAGAGTGATCAGACATTGGAATGTGCTGCCCAGGGAGGTGGTGGATTCACCATCCCTGGAGGTTTTCAAGGTGAGACTGGATGTGGCACTTAGTGTCATGGTCTAGTGACCACAGTAGGGTTGGACTCAGTGACCTTGGAGGTCTCTTCCAACCTGGTTGATTCTATGATTCTTATGATTTTATGACAGATTCACCCGTATTATTAGTGGGGGATGTACCTATGCAGCTTTCCTGTGGGTGGGTTTTTCTGTTAGATGTTGCAATCAGATTTGTTCCCTGTCAACCCTGACAGTCTGGTTGTACTCCCAGAACTGGCCTGGCCTCAGCACGGCTGGAATATTCGTGTTGCTCTCCAGGTGTTCTCCAGGCCCCTGCACCAGCTGCTCATGGCTTTTCTCAGAAGTGCTTCTTGTTTGCTTTAAGTCAGGTTTCCATCAAGGTGAGGTTAAGGTATGGCTCAAACCTGCCCCTGGGACAGCACTTTGGCTTAATTAGCAGGAGAGGTCACTCTTGAGTTTGTAGAAGGTGATTTTTGGGGTGGGGATGAGTGTGGTTGGTCTCAGGAGCAATTACATGGGTTACTTCTTGTTGCTGCCCTTAGCTGTGCAAAGGGTTTTGCTGTTATACTGGGACAACATTGTTTTAAGTCCAAATGAAAATGGGCATAAATATTAGAACTTATTTTACTTTACAGCTTCAGCAAAATGCTGAAGAGAGTAAACATTTCAAGGCTGAAATATAGCCCAGAAACTGCTTAATTCATAATGTCTATTGGAACAGGCAGGAGAATTAGAGGTGAGTTTATCTAGCAACATAAAAGGTATTTCAACATAAAACATAGTCTGTTTTCACTCTTGCTTTCTGGGAATTCCCCTTCACACAGGTTTGAAATACACTCAGCTGCCTAATGATGCAGTAAAAAAATCTTATTTTTGTTTCTGTGTTCTAAATTATGAGGTGACTAAAAGAGATAGAATAGTTAACCTTTAGGGCTTTACTAGATGAGTTTAGGGGATGGTGATGGAAGGGAGGTGGAGATGGGAGGAAGTAAGATACATTTTTTTTTTCTGGCCTATTTATTATTCAGCTCAAGCAGAATTATGCCTGTTTAGGCATCTTGGTGAAAGGT